GTGACATCTACATCTGCAGAACCTGAAGAACCGGTGGCATCTACATCTACATAACATGAAGAACCAGTGGCATCTACATCTCCAGAACGTGATGAACCAGTGGCATCTACATCTACAGAACGTGAAGAACCAGTGGCATCTACATCTGCAGAATGTGAAGAACCAGTGGCATCTACATCTAGAGAACGTGAAGAACCAGTGACATCTACATCTGCAGAACATGAAGAACCAGTGGCATCTACATCTACAGAACGTGAAGAACCAGTGGCATCTACATCTAAAGAACGTGAAGAACCAGTGGCATCTACATCTAAAGAACGTGAAGAACCAGTGGCATCTACATCTGCAGAACGTCATGAACCAGTGGCATCTACATCTACAGAACGTGAAGAACCAGTGGCATCTACATCTACAGAACGTGAAGAACCAGTGACATCTACATCTACAGAACATGAAGAACCAGTGGCATCTACATCTACAGAACGTGAAGAACCAGTGGCATCTACATCTCCAGAACGTGATGAACCAGTGGCATCTACATCTACAGAACGTGAAGAACCAGTGGCATCTACATCTGCAGAACGTGAAGAACCAGTGGCATCTACATCTACAGAACGTGGAGAACCAGTGACATCTACATCTGCAGAACATGAAGAACCAGTGTCATCTACATCTGCAGAACGTGAAGAACCAGTGACATCTACATATACAGAACGTGATGAACCAGTTGCATCTACATCTGCAGAACGTGAATAACCTGTGGCATCTACATCTGCAGAACGTGAAGAACCAGTGGCATCTACATCTGCAGAACATGAAGAACCTGTGGCATCTACATCTGCAGAATGTGAAGAACCAGTGACATCTACATCTACAGAACGTGAAGAACCAGTGGCATCTACATCTAAAGAACGTGAAGAACCAGTGGCATCTACATCTGCAGAACGTGAAGAACCAGTGGCATCTACATCTAAAGAACGTGATGAACCAGTGGCATCTACATCTATAGAACGTGAAGAACCAGTGGCATCTACATCTACAAAACATGAAGAACCAGTGGCGTCTACATCTGCAGAACGTCATGAACCAGTGGCATCTACATCTACAGAACGTGAAGAACCAGTGCCATCTACATCTGCAGAATGTGAAGAACCAGTGACATCTACATCTACAGAACGTGAAGAACCAGTGGCATCTACAGAACGTGAAGAACCAGTGGCATCTACATCTCCAGAACGTGATGAACCAGTGGCATCTACATCTACAGAACGTGAAGAACCAGTGGCATCTACATCTGCAGAACGTGAAGAACCAGTGGCATCTACATCTACAGAACGTGGAGAACCAGTGAAATCTACATCTGCAGAACATGAAGAACCAGTGTCATCTACATCTGCAGAACGTGAAGAACCAGTGACATCTACATATACAGAACGTGATGAACCAGTTGCATCTACATCTGCAGAACGTGAATAACCTGTGGCATCTACATCTGCAGAACGTGAAGAACCAGTGGCATCTACATCTGCAGAACATGAAGAACCTGTGGCATCTACATCTGCAGAACATGAAGAACCAGTGGCATCTACATCTACAGAACGTGAAGAACCAGTGGCATCTACATCTAAAGAACGTGAAGAACCAGTGGCATCTACATCTGCAGAACGTGAAGAACCAGTGGCATCTACATCTGCAGAACGTGAAGAACCAGTGGCATCTACATCTACAGAACGTGGAGAACCAGTGACATCTACATCTGCAGAACATGAAGAACCAGTGGCATCTACATCTGCAGAACGTGAAGAACCAGTGACATCTACATATACAGAACGTGATGAACCAGTGGCATCTACATCTGCAGAACGTGAAGAACCAGTGGCATCTACATCTGCAGAACATGAAGAACCAGTGGCATCTACATCTACAGAACGTGAAGAACCAGTGGCATCTACATCTGCAGAACGTGAAGAACCAGTGGCATCTACATCTCCAGAACGTGATGAACCAGTGGCATCTACATCTGCAGAACGTGAAGAACCTGTGGCATCTACATCTGCAGAACGTGAAGAACCAGTGGCATCTACATCTGCAGGATCTAAAACAAACTTGTAAAGCCATTCCCCGTGGTTAGTGAACATGCCGTACAAAATGTTCAGAATCGGCAGGAATAAAGTTGGACTTACGAACAGAACCTCTGGAACCCTAACTCGCTTGTAAGCAGAGGCATCCCACTGCTACCCCCCGACTAACGATTGCGCTCGCAGCGCGCTCCGCAACACCGTGAGCCCAACGCGCTGGAAGAGCGACCGTTATTTGAGCAATAGTGAGCGCTCAATAACTAAAAACAAGCGTACATCATTGCAACGCACGCTTGCACAATCGCATCGCGTAGAGGCGCGTAAAACGCGAGGCGACTGTCTAGTGGTTGCAGGTGCAGTGTTGTTGTGTATAGTGTAGTTTATAGTAGTGTGGTATATGGCAGTGCAGTATAAAGCAGCGTGCAGTGGTATGAAGTGTAGTGCACGTTGAACTTCTTTCGCACCGTTCGTAGCCACGTCATGCTAATCGGAGGCGGGTGCTTACAGGCCGCCACCCCCTCCCCCACCAGTTGCCAGACCATTGCTCCCCGGGACAGAAGCCCCCCCCCCCCTTCGCTCAGTTTCACTTCAGTTGTCACTTCAGTTTTCACTTTATTTTGAAGTACCCTGGGAGCCCCGAAGTGGGGGTTTCAGCAATAAAAACAACAACGCCGTTCCCCGTGACGGACGTAGCACAGAGCAAAACTAACTTAACATTGAAAATGGCTTTTAAACAAAAGGTGACCAAAAAAATGATGTAATTGCAAATATGAAATGTATCTTTTAAAAGTTTTGAGCGAAGTAAGGGATGAAAACAAAGTGCAAAAGTAGTCAGAAAAATGTGCCAGTGGAAAAACACACCGTTTCCCAAGAAACACTACTTTTAAATGTCGAATAAAAATGTAAAAATATCTATTAAATGTAAATGCGCCATCAACCAACCACGACACTGCACCGAGCAAAACGCAGCCATCGTCAAAATAAAAGAGAGCGGTGCAGACAAAGGCACAAGATGACAACCGAGATCACTCGCAGACAAACGATGCTGCCCGGATATCGAACTTGCCTCGCTGGTGACCACATTGTGGTCTGCAGGCCTTCAAATGCCGAGCTCACAATCACACACACTCACAAGACAAAAATAAAGGTCCCCTGTATAGCTTTAACAGACTGTAGGGGCAAGTGCTGTTAGCGAGCACCTATGAAGGCCAGAACGGCACACGAGGAGGTGGGTGGCCAATACCATGCCCGGCCGCCTTTGTCTCCCCAGTGGCAATGTTTACACACCGCTCCAGGTACTCATTTGATGCTGAGTCGACCTAGGGGACGCCCTTAACCGGTTCAGATAATAGTCACTGGTATTGGCCGTGAGTGGGATCGAACTCGGGTCGCCGGGTTCATAGCGCAGCGTAGCACTAACCGCTACACTACCGCTCCCCACAAACACACAACAACAACAACCGCCATTCGCCACTAAGTGGCGGTGACGTCACCACGACGCTTGTGCCAGGCCATGTGCACCTTGAGGCCACGTGAAGTGTCGAACGCCCGCGGGCAAGAGGTCACGGGGCAGACCCAGGTGCCACGGGTTGACTGACTGAGATGACTGGCTGGTGCACCACCTGTGCCCCCTACTGTGCCAACATGCTGTGCTTTAGCCACCCGGCGCTCTGCTCGTTGTTGTGAGCGTCGCTCCTCCGCCCTCCATTGTTGTTGGAGGGCGACTGCCTCCAACTGCCCAATAGCGTCCTTCACGAGCCTCCTCCACAGAGGCCGATCTTGACACCGCTGGTACCAGTCATCGGCAAGTCCACTCAGCTCCACGTCCTCCTGTACCACATCACTCCATCTCTTCTCCAGCCCGTGCCGCGCCCGTTTAGCCCCCTCGATCCGGCCGAACAAAAGCTGTTTCGGCATGCGATGGCTGGGCATGCGGGCTACATGACCCAGCCAATGCAGCCTTGCCTGCCGGAGGAGCTCACCGATCGGACCTTGCCCAGATCTTTCAAGGATTTGTGAGCTCCTCACACAATCAAGCCTGGTTAAACCCAGGATGGATCGTAGGCAGGCCAGCCTAAATGTTTCCAACCGGTGAAGATGCTCCATTAAGGGGGTCCACTTTTCGCAAGCGTAGAGAAGGGAGGGAATGACCGTGGCCGAGAAGACCTGAAGCTTAGTGCGGAGCGACAGACCAGGTAGCTTCCACACAGCGTTACGCAACCGATTAAAAGATATTGCCGCTCGGAGTGAGACCTCTGCTGTTAAACTGGAGCCGGTTATAAGCACACTGCCCAGGTATGGGAAACTCTCCACTCTCTCCACAACTGCCCCATCACCGATTGGGAGTTGTGGGGGTGGAGTGTCCGATGGTACAAAATACCCAGGCAGGTGCTTAGTTTTGGTGGGGCTGATGGTAAGGCCCCATCTCTTAGTGGCACATACACGGGACCTCTAACTTCTCCGCACGCGCCTTGCAAGGAGGGACCGAATCAATTGAGCTGCGGGTGATCTCCAATGATCAAATGCCGATTTAGATGAACCCATTTATTATAAGAGAATCTATTTATCATTCAGTATAATCATCATCGTCGTGGTCTTCATTGGGTTCACTGCAGCTCAATGACTCAGTCGCCATTACAAGGCGTGCTGTTAAAATAAAACAATAATCATTGTAGGGGAGACTTGAGTCACTTTTCAGTTTCATTCATAAGGTGTAGCCCTGTGAGCCATGTGGCGCAACAAACAAAAACATGAACAAAGAACATCTTAAAGCGACTACGCGCAACAGAAAAATCCAGGGGAAAAAAACCAGCAAAATCTTCCCGAAAAAAAACACTGCATATCAACGCTGAGCTGCAGCGATCCCAATGAATAATTGTAATAAATCATTATTCATCCTAACCGTCGTCGTTGTCGTCTCAGGCCGAATTCCTCGAGGCACTGGGAGACGATGAAGGCCGGGATGACCATCGTGTTCGAGGATGCCATCTCGAGCAACGAGACAGGCCCCTACCGGTGCAGCGCCACCAACGGATTCGTGACCGCCTCGTCGCCGCTCTACCACCTCGCGCTCGAGCCCGACGTCGATAAAGGTGTGTGGACGACGGGGGGGGGGGGGGGGGGGGATGCCTCCGAGGGCTCCTAGGTTGACTCAGCTTCAAAAAGTACTCAAAAGTACTTGGTGCAAGTGTGTAAACATTGTCAATGGGGAAACAAAAGCGTACGGGCGTGATGCTAACCACCCGCTCCCTCGCGTGCCGTGCCGGCTTTCTTAGGCGCTAGTCGCTAACAGCACTTGCCCCAGCATTCTGTTAAAGGTTACACGGGGGATCTTTGTCTTTGTTCATGTGTGTGCGGTGTGTGTGTGTGTGTGTGCGGTGTGTGTGTGTGCAATGTAATTGTGTGTGTGTGTGTGTGTGCTGCTCGCCAACAGCACTTGCCCCAGCAGTCTGTTAAAGGCTACATGGTGGATATTTGGCTTTGTTGATATTTGTGTGCGGTGTGTGTGGCAACGCTGTGGTGGGCAGTGCCATGGGGGAAGGGCCAATTTAGATGGGCCTTTCTCTTCATGGCGTTTGTAACCATCATAGGAGCCAAATGGGGGCTCTGGACGGATGCGAGGGACTGGTAACCCCTCCACCTTCATTTAACTACCACTAAACTACGATGCAAAAAGCTTATTAAGCTTGTGCCGGAGGTCCCGGGGGGACAGGCGTCTATGACGTCTCCTGGCCAAACTCCATTTGGCGGAGCCAGGAGAATGAATTCTTACCCTCGGGGCTCCTCCAGAAACAACAAAAAGCCACTTCGGATGGCCACGTGGAATGTTCGAATGCTCACTGCAGCGGAGAGGCTGCCGCTCCGCTGTTGGGAGTTGGATCGGTACCACCATCTCTGCGGTATTCAGGAGGTCCGGTGGACTGGCTCTGGTTCCTGCCACCATGAGGGGTGGACAGTCCTCTACTCGAGGCAGGAGACTGCCAAACAACAGGGAGTGGCTCATCTTCTGAGCCAAAGAATGAAGAGAGCGTGGGAGCGTGGCGGTGAGGTGTGGGAAGCTGTAAGCCCCAGGATACTTTGGGCCCGCCTTCCCATCAACCAGAAGCGAGGAGTGGTGGTCGTGGTTACGTATGCCCCCACCGAATACGAACATCCGTGGAGGGATGCAGGCAATGCCGATGAGTCAGGTGCCTTCTATGACCACCTGTCACAGGTGCTGGCTAAAGTGGCCCCTTGGGATAGAGTCATCTTGTTCTGTGACTTCAATGCCCGAGTTGGTCATGATGCTAGCACCTCGTCTGGAGTGATTGGAAGATGTGGGCCAGATCAGCTCAATAACAACGATATGAGGCTGCTAGATTTTTGTGCAGCCCATGGGCTTGTAATTTCCAACATGCTGTTCCAGCATCGTCGCATCCACACAACATCGTGGATGCATGCCGGGTCCAAGCAAGAACATCTGCTGGACTACATAGTGATGGGACAGCAGATGCGGGCCCATGTCCTTAACACAAGGATCTACTGTGGAGCTGATTTGCCAACTGACTATCGACTTGTCATCTGTAAGATGCGCCTGCTATTCTTCCACTCCGGTGGTGGGTGTACACCCAGGACCCCATTCAAACCCTTAGTGGCATGGTCTCAGCTAGCTGATGAAAGTTGCAAGCGGGAATTGCATCATCGCTTGCGGCTGGGGTTGGCAGCATCCCCCACTCCTCCTGATGTCGAGGGGAAAGGGGCGAGGTTTAGGACTGTGACTCATGCAGCTGCAATAGCTGCTTTGGGTACACGGTCCAGACCTCCTTAGATACCCTGGCTGACAGAGGAGGTGTTCAGGCTGGCTTGGAAAAAGCGACAGGCCCACTCTCATCATCTACAGCATCCCACGTCAGAGAATGAGGAGGCTTACCGCAGCCTTCACTTGGAGGTTCAGAGAGCCGTGAGGCGCTGCAATAATGTTTGGTGGTCGCGGGTTGCTGAGGAGATGGAGTCTGCATCAATGGCCCATGATCACAAATCGCTCTTTAATTCCATCAAAAAAAAGAACAGTGATCCAATTTTCTGGGGGAGGGGAAATCTCTCAGCCTGGAAAACATCATGGGACAAAGTGGGGATGACCCTGCTGAGGCTGTGGTGCCTCAAATATGGGAAGAAGAAGTCACCCCCTGTGAGTGGCTGGCTGAGGTGCCATCTGTTGAGGAAGCATTGAAGGCGATCCAGAGCCTGAGACCAGGAAAGGCACCGGACAGAGATGATCTCCCAAGCGAAATGTTGAGGGAGGGTGGTGTTTGTGCACAGACTGTCCTACATGACATCATAACAACAGTCTGGACCACTGGGCGGGTTCCGCAGGATTGGAAGGATGCCCTGGTGGTCCCCCTCTTTAAGAATGGGGACCGTGCAGACTGTAACAACTACAGGGGTATCTCACTCCTCAGTGTGCCGGGAAAGGTCCTGGCAAGGATTATTCAACATCGCCTTGCTAAGCACTCTGAGGAAAGTCTTGCGGAGCCCCAATGTGGTTTCAGGAAAGGGTAGTCCTGCACATATGCCATATTTTCCGTCTGTCTGCTACAGCAGAGCTGTTGGGAATTCCAACAAGACCTATATCTCTGCTCTATTGACCTGGTCAAGGCCTATTATACCATCAGTAGGCCTGGGCTCTGGGTTGTTCTTCGTGCTTTTGGAGTCCCTGACCCGCTGCTCACAATCATTAAGGACCTTCATGATGGTGAGCGGGCCCTGTTAAAACTACGTGGCCGGAAGTCGGAGCCATTCCCTGTACACCTTGGGGTGCGACAGTGATGTCCTCTGCCTCCCACATTATTGTACATTTCTTTGGACCACGTAGTTCGTGAAGCCTTTGATGGCTGTACCGGAGGAATTTCCATCTGGTACAGATACAATGGGAGGCTGATCGATGCCCGGGTGCGGTCAAGGAATGGCTCCCTATTGCTCAACCATGTTATGTATGCCGATGATATGGTAATTGCTGCTCACTCAGAGGAGGAGTTGGAAGCACTGCTGCTGAACCTGAAGTGAGCCACTAAGAGGTGGGGCCTTACCATCAGCCCCACAAAAACTAAGCACCTGCCTAAGTATTTTGTACCATTGGACACTCCACCCCCAAAACTCGCAATTGGTGATGGGGCAGTTGTGGAGAGAGTGGAGAGTTTCCCATACCTGGGCAGTGTGCTTATGACTGGCTCCAGTTTAACGGCAAAGGTCTCACTCTGAATCAGTCGAGCGGCAATATCTTTTCATCGGTTGCGTAATGCTGTGTGGAAGCCACCTGGTCTGTCGCTTCGCACGAAGCTTCAGGTTTTCTCGGCCACGGTCATTCCCTTCCTTCTCTACGCTTGTGAAACGTGGACCCCCTCTAATGGGACATCTTTGCCGGTAAGAAACATTTAGGCTGACCTGCCTACGATCCATCCTGGGTTTAACTAGGCTGGATTGTGTGAGGATCTCACAAATTATTGAAAAATCTGGACAAAGTCCCATTGGTGAGCAAGGCTGCGTTGGCTGGGTCATGTAGCCCGCATGCCCAGTCACCGCATGCCTAAACAGCTTTCGTTCGGCTAGATAGAGGGGGCTAAACGAGCGCGGCACGGGCTAGAGAAGAGATGGAGTGATGTGGTACAGGAGGACGTGGAGCTGAGTGGACTTGCCGATGACTGATACCAGCGGTGTCAAGATCGGCCTCTGTGGAGGAGGCTCGTGAAAGACGCTACTGGGCAGTTGGAGGCAGTCGCCCTCCAACAACAACGGAGAGCGGAGGAGCGATGCTCACAACAACGAGCGGAGTGCCGGGTGGCTAAAGCACAGCTAGTTGGCACAGTCATCTTGGTCATCTCAGTCAGTCGACCCGTGGCACCTGGGTCTGCCCCGTGACCTCCTGCCAGTGGGCGTTCGACACTTCACCTGGCCTCAACGTGCACATGGCCTGGCACAAGCATTGTGGTGACGTCACCGCCACTTAGTGGCGAATGGCGGTTGTTGTTGTTGTTCTCTAACAGCACTTGCCCCAACACTCTGTTAAAGGCTACCACGCGGGTCTTTGTGTAACCATGTTGCGTGCACGCCAGGGTCCTGGGATAAACTCGTCATCTACCTGGGGTGCCTGGCGGGCAGCGCCCTGATGTTGCTGATCGTGGTGGTGGTGTTCGTGTGTCGGCACAAGCGGCCCACGAACCCATACCTGGACGAGTACGTTGACACGAGTATCAGGTGGTACTTCACTAGCAGCTGGCACGACTACCAGGTGGTACTACAGCAGCAGCAGCCAATATATCGTAGCGTACCGTAATAAAGAAGTTCAGTGTAAATACGGTCCATCGGCCGTATATTTGTTGGGCGCCACGGTGGCTAAGAGATGTTAACTACCTCGCCTGGTATACAGGAAGTCGTGGGTTCTATCGTGACCCTGACGATGCCAGTAGAGTTGGAGTGTGCATGTTCTCTCCGTGGTCGCGTAGATTTTGCCCTGGGTCCTTCCGGTTTTCCCCTCCACATTGAGAATCAACATCACCAGACCATGCGTTCACATTGATTTGACTGCTGCTGCTGCAATAGATAATTATCCACGTCACGACGATGATGAAGCCGCCACTTCGTTGAGCTATCATTTGCGATGGCCAGGTCGCTTCTGAAAAAGTAAGCTGATAGCTCAGCGGGGCCTTACCTGCTAAAATGAAAATAGTAACATACTATATGATCGCTGGGAATAGTAAAATGAAAATAGTAACGTACTATATGATCGCTGGGAATTAGTAAAATGAAAATAGTAACATACCATATGATCGCTGGGAATAGTAAAATGAAAATAGTAACATACTATATGATCGCTGGGAATAGTAAAATTAAAATAGTAACGTACTATATGATCGCTGGGAATAGTAAAATGAAAATAGTAACGTACTATATGATCACTGGGAATTAGTAAAATGCCTATTGACATTTTTTTCCCATCGCACGATTCGATTCAGGGGCTTCCTGCATGGGCACAGAGTTTAGAATGCAAATCCCATCCCCCCGGATTGCTCTGTGCGCTCTTATCGACGATTTGTTGTTGTTTGTTGTTGTTGTCGTCATTCCAACAGAAGGGACAGTACCCCAATCCACAAGCCCGCGCCACCCCGGAGACTGCCCTTACCTGACGAGGAGGAAAACTTCGGGGTGGGGGTAAGGAAGGAGGCACGCACGCGTCACCCACGTCTCGTGCGTGAACCCATCCGTGCGGACTCGCGAGCGTCGCCCCCCCCCCCACCCCTCCTGCCCCACCGCATCCCCACCTCCCACCCCCCGAGTGAGTAAGTGGATGGATGAGTGAGTGGGTGAACGAGTGAGTGGATGGGTGCATGAGTGAGTGGGTGGGGGGACGAGTGAGTGGGTGGGTGAATGAGTCAGTGGACGAGTGAGTGGATGAATGATTGGGTGGGTGGGTGGATGGATGAGTGAGTGAGTGGGTGGATGGACGAGTGAGTGGGTGGGTGAATGAGTGAGTGGACGAGTGAGTGGATGAGTGGTGAGTGAGTGGGTGGGTGGATGAGTGAGTGGATACGTGAGTGGGTGGGTGCATGAGTGGGTGAACGCGTGAGTGGATGGGTAGATGAGTGAGTGGGTGGGTGGATGAGTGAGTGGATGCGTGAGTGGGTGGATGAGTGGGTGGATGAGTGGGTGGATGAGTGGGTGGACGAGTGAGAGGGTGGGTGAATGAGTGAGTGGACGAGTTAATGCATGGGTGGATGAGTGAGTAGGTGGGTGGATGAGTGAGTGAGTGCGTCAATGGGTGAGTGGGTGGATGAGTGGGTGGGTGGATGAGTGAGTGGATGAGTGGGTGGGCGGGTGGGTGGATGAGTGAGTGGATACGTGAGTGGGTGGGTGGATGAGTGGGTGGACGAGTGAGTGGATGGGTGGATGAGTGAGTGGGTGGGTGGATGAGTGAGTGGATGCGTGAGTGGGTAGATGAGTGGGTGGATGAGTGGGTGGACGAGTGAGAGGGTGGGTGAATGAGTGAGTGAGTGGACGAGTTAATGGATGGGTGGATGAGTGGGTGGGTGGATGAGTGAGTGAGTGAGTGCGTCAGTGGGTGGGTGGATGAGTGGGTGGATGAGTGGGTTAGTGGGTGAGTGAGTGCGTCAGTGGGTGGGTGGATGAGTGGGTGGATGAGTGGGTGGGTGGGTGAGTGAGTGGATGAGTGGGTGGGTGGATGAGTGAGTGGGCGGATGAGTGAGTGCATGAGTGAGTGTATGAGTAAGTGGTGCAAAAGAAGTTCAACGTACATATGTCGCAATCTCTCTTAAGTGCAAAATCAAAGCGTTTCCTGCACAACCCGTCAACTGTACATAGCCTCCTGCGAGCGCGTCATTACAGAGGCATTGTGGGTGGATGAAAGGTCACTCTGGAAGGGATGATCTCAAGAAGTAGGTCTGTGATCGCCTCATTCATGCAATTGCATCCCACAATTGCTGCAGCATCAATTCCGCCGGTCCCGTACACGGATGATACAAAAACTAAAAAGATGAATATTCGTGAGTAACGAGGTAAAAAGAATTGCACGTAACAAGAAACTGATCGTCGCAGAGAAAATTAATGAAAATAAATAAATCCGTTCGGTCTCCATAGCCCAGACCACTATCCCAACATTTCGCCGGATTTAGGATGAACCTTCACGGGAGGGGTCCCGGAAGCGGCCACCAAAAAGTGACGAGCCAGTTGGACCGTAACGTAAATGCCTGTTTCCCAGCGTATGCCCGGACAAACAAAAACAGGCCTTTTAGTTCAGATTCTAATAAGTCAATTGCTTCCATTTATCGGACGCGTGGCGTTGAGAGTGTTTCGAACCGGTGGGATCTGCGACACGTGAACACTCGCCCGCCAATCGATTTACGTTTAAAATCCTTGGGCTGGACAGAAAACCTCCTAATTGAAGATGCAGCGGAGAACCCGAGGTGCGATCTTGAAAGTGATTCTGGACTGTGGAGGGATCGTGAAATGTGTGTAATATGACGACGCTTGCGGGTATGAGTCACGTGATCGATCCTGATTTGAAGCTTTCGCGACTGCAGGAATCCAAACGTTTTAGTTCTTTCGGTGAAGTCACGTGGGTATAAACAAAAATAGTAGATCACTTCGTTCCGATCGCAACAACGGTCGCGACCGTCTTCGGTGAAGACGGTCGACTTTCTTGTTGCCGTCGCTTGTTGCTGCTATCGAAACATCGTGATTGATTAATTTTTTTTATACCTGCGTGACTTTACCGAAAGAGCCAAAGAGCATGAGTTCCGTGATATTCACTTTCGCGGAGGGAGGGGGGTGAAGTGGGGAGGGGGGGGCGTTTCTCGAATGAACGATGCCGGTGGGGTAAAGTGTGGGTACTGTGCTCCGCGTGGAATGATCGGCCGACTCTCTACGAGCTCCCCGTCCCGACGGAGAGGTTTTTCGTTCGTCGGCAGCGGCGGAGGGGGCCGGCAGTTGCAGGGCTGCGCCTTGACAAATAAAATGCAAACGGAAAAAAAAATGCACATTATGATTTGCTGACTGTTGGTTCCCGTTGTGTTGTTAACGCGTTTGTTTTAAGGTGGTCTATTCCGGCCCGTTGCCCAAACCTCACCCGCATGGAAGATCGCCGGTGAGTTTGGCAAAGAAGACAATGTTCAGTTTGTTTTGTTAATTTTTATTTCCCGATTCGATTCACATCGCCGCTCGTGATTGCCGCTGAGGAATCCATTGGGAACGGAGCGGAAACACGATCCTCCCCACCGCAGAAGTGGATATCACAGAACTACGGTGGCTATGAGATGTTAACTACCTCGTCTGGTATACAGGAGGTCGTGGGTTCGATCCCGACCCTGACGCCTCCTGCTGTATATTTGGAGTTTGTGTGTCTCTGTCTATCTCTCTCTCCGTGGTCGCGTGGATTTTTTTCTCCGCGTCCTTCGGTTTTTCCCTCCTCATTTAGAATCAACGTCACGTCTTTTAAAATATTCGGCTGCGATGAATTTCAACGTGATGATAAGCCACTTCGTTTGGCTATCATTTTTGGCCAGCTCACTTCTGAAAAAGAAGTTAATAGCTCAGTGCATGAGTGGAGGGTTCTGTATGGGATGAGACGAGATGGTTCTGTATGGGATGAGACGAGGGTTCTGTATGGGATGAGACGGGGGTTCTGTATCGGATGAGACGAGGGTTCTGTATGGGATGAGACGAGGGTTCTGTATCGGATGAGACGAGAGGGTTCTGTATGGGATGAGACGAGGGTTCTGTATGGGATGAGACGAAAGGGTTCTGTATGGGATGAGACGAGGGTTCTGTATGGGATGAGACAAGGGTTCTGTATGGGATGAGACGAGGGTTCTGTATTGGATGAGACGAGGGTTCTGTATGGGATGAGACAAGGGTTCTGTATGGGATGAGACGAGGGTTCTGTATGGGATGAGACGAGAGGGTTCTGTATGGGATGAGACGAGAGGGTTCTGTATTGATGAGACTGGGGTTCTGTATTGGATGAGACTGGGGTTCTGTATGGGATGAGACTGGGGTTCTATATGGGATGAGACGGGGGTTCTGTATGGGATGAGACGAGGGTTCTGTATGGGATGAGACGGGGGTTCTGTATAAGATGAGACGAGAGGGTTCTGTATGGGATGAGACGAGGGTTCTGTATGGGATGAGACGGGGGTTCTGTATAGGATGAGACGAGAGGGTTCTGTATGGGATGAGACGAGGGTTCTGTATGGCATGAGACGAGAGGGTTTTGTATGGGATGAGACGAGAGGGTTCTGTATTGTATGAGACTGGGGTTCTGTATTGGATGAGACTGGGGTTCTGTATGGGATGAGACTGGGGTTCTATATGGGATGAGACGAGGGTTCTGTATGGGATGAGACAAGAGTTCTGTATGGGATGAGACGAGAGTTCTGTATGGGATGAGACTAGAGGGTTCTGTATGGGATGAGATGGGGGTTCTGTATGGGATGAGACGAGAGTTCTGTATGGGATGAGGGTTCTGTATGGGATGAGACGAGGGTTCTGTATGGGATGAGGGTTCTGTATGGGATGAGACGAAGGTTCTGTATTGGATGAGACGAGGGTTCTGTATGGGATGAGACGAGGGTTCTGTATGGGATGAGACGGGGGTTCTGTATAGGATGAGACGAGAGTTCTGTATGGGATGAGGGTTCTGTATGGGATGAGATGAGGGTTCTGTATAGGATGAGACGAGGGTTCTGTATGTGATGAGACCGGTGTTCTGTATCGGATGACAATCGGTCGAAGGGACGTTGTTCGTGTTGGCGTGATGTCATCTTTGGGAGTGTGGGTGTGCCACTGTTCTCCGGCGTTGTCACAGCTGGCCGTGCCGTTGGTCTCTTTGCAGAGGCCGCAGCTGAGAAATCCGCTCGCCTTCTCGTACCTGGAGGCTCACAACGCAGATGCCGACAACATCGTGAGTCTCGAGGGCCGTGAGACATCGCTCCCTCAACACCCCAGCCCTGGCTAGCCACTGCGTCCGCGAGCCTGTGATGGTGATACTTTATTTATTAAGAGGCATGTCGGTGGCTAGGAGATGTTATCTCACTCGCCTAGTATATGGGAGGTCGTGGGTTCGATCCCGGCCCTGATGCCTGCTGTATCGTTGGGGTCTGCGTGTCTCTCTCTCTCCGTGGTCGCGTGGATTATTTTTCTCCGGGTCCTCCGGTTTTTCCCTTCACATTGAGAATCAATGTCACGCGTTCAGAGTATTTGGCTGCTGTACCCATGATGATGATGAGCTGCCACTCCGTTGACCTATCATTTGTGATGGCCAGGTCGCTTCTGAAAAAGAAGCTAATAGCTCAGTGAGGCCTTACCTGGCCAAATAAAAATAACATTTTCAGTTTAGTTATTTACTAACAAGATAAAGGCGCAGCCCTGAAAGTGCTGGCTTACGCCACTGCTGGAAGTAGGGGCCTACCTCCACGGTGGTGAACCCAAACTCCAAATACACAATGGGCATCAGAGGGTCGGGATCGAACCCGCGACCTCCTGCATACCAGGCGAGTTAGTTAACCACCGGGGCGCCCATAACACACCGCTAACGTTGTCATCCCGTTTGTACCCTGTCTGTTGTTTGCAGTCGTCGACGAAGACAGATCCAGAGGATTATGATGATGTCGAGGTGCGGTGAAGTGGGCAGACGAGTTTTGGGACGGGCTAATTCTCCGCTTGTTTATTTTTTCATTTTTTTAAAGGACACGTGTTTTTTGGGGAGTTTTTTTTCGAATCGTTTGCACTCCGTGATAAATCAGCGCGCCTCCTTCGTGCTCACAAATTGTGACGCCGTCAGCGTGGAGCCACGGACGTGAGGTCACGGGGGTGACGTCACTTCCTGCGAAGTCAAGGTTTTCCGAATGCCACTTTAGAGTATGAAAAATAAGAACAGGTTTTACCCTTTCAGCCAATTAAAAACAGGAGTTGTGTTAAGATGTCCAAACACCAAATAGAAACATTTCGCAAGGAATCAAGTTACTGCATTAACAACACACGGTACTTGTTGTGAACATGCAAAACCAACATGCTGTGATAACATACACGCATTGTCTTTGAAACTGATTGACCTACACCAGAGACAGCTTTCTTTATGGCCGAGTCTCACCACCAGTGTCAAACTAGAGAGCAACGCCAAAATGCGAACAGTACAAAGACAATGCAAATATTACTTAATCAGAGCTTGTTTGCATGTTCACCACACATACTGCGTGTGGTTCATGCAGTAACTTGATTCCTTGCAAAAGGTTTCCATTGGGTGTTTGAACATCTTAACACAAATTGCCAGAAAGGGTAGATCCTATTCTTATTTTTCATGTTTTACAGATCGTCCAAAAATTCCATGTTATGGCTCGATTTTGGGATTAAGTTTGAAAATTAGGAATACACTCCGACTTTAAAGACTCAGTAATCGTCTGATAACACCTTTCATATACATGTACGTGTGTGTGTGTGTTGATCCTCTTTCGCACGGTTGCTAATTAATCGGAGGTGCGGGCCAACTGTTTCGAGATTCACCCGTCAGAGTCTGATCGGCACATTGGCCACCTCCGATTGGCCCGGTTGGCTAGCGTATGGTGCGAGAGAATTTCAACCTTCGTACATACATATCAAATAACAATGTCTGCGTAAACGCGGCAAATCTTCCAAGTCATCGGTCAGAATCCGAGCGACACATTAGCCACGTGTAAATATGCAGAGGACCGCAGAGCTTGGCCAACGGTTAGTCGTGCCAGCTCCTCGCAAGCGCGTGGCTGCTGCTGCTACCTCCGCGCTTCGCCTGTGGTTCCTCCTCCTCCTGGCTCCTCCGAGTCGCCCTCCCCCCCCCCCCCGACTCTCTACGTCTCTACGCGAGCGATGAATGGACACCCTGTGCGCGTTACAAGCTGACGTTATTATATTGGTCGCGAAAGCCTACGTGTTAAACCAGGGGTCGGGAACCTATGGCTCGCGAGCCAGATGTGGCTCTTTTGATGATTGCATATGGCTCGCAGATAAAACAAAATATTCTCACTTGTTTTAATCCATCCATCGATTTTTCACTGCGCATGTCCTGTTCAGGGCTGCAGGAGCAATTGTCCATTATTTTAATTGGATGATACTGGCCTACGTTTGCCGTTGCTGGGTAAAACAGGTAAACGCCCCCTTTTGAATCAGTCTGAGACTGCGTCTGCTCGGTAATTAGCTCAAAGCTAACCCTTCAACGAAGAAGATGGCGAAAAGAAAAAAAGACGACGAGTATCGTACATTTCAGGACGAATGGACCGAAGAATTCGCCTTTGTGGAGAGAGCGGGTTCTGCGGTGTGTCTAATTTGCAATGACAAAATTACATCGTTGAAACGGTCGAATGTAAAGCGGCACTTCGACACGCGCCACGCTACCTTTGCATCAAAATACCCTGCGGGAGACAGCAGAAAGAAAGCGTGCCAAGAGCTTCTGAGCAGGGTGCAAGCTAGCCAGCAGCAACTCCGCGTATGGACCCGGCAAGGTGACTATAATTCGGCTAGCTTTGCTGGTTCTTTAGCAATAGTGAGGAACGGAAAACCATTCACAGATGGCGAGTATGCTAAAACGTTCATGCTGGATGTAGCCAATGAACTTTTTGATGATCTTCCGAACAAAGACAAGATAATCAAACGGATACAAGACATGCCTCTGTCGGCAAGAACTGTTCATGATCGTACCATCGTGATGGCAAACAAAGTGGAGGAAACGCAAGTGAAGGACATAAATGCAGCGCCGTTCTTTTCTCTGGCTTTGGATGAGTCAACAGACGTGAGCCATTTGTCGCAGTTCAGCGTGATTGCAAGATATGCTGTTGGTGACACACTGCGCGAAGAAAGTCTTGCTGTTCTGCCATTAAAAGGGTCCACAAGAGGTGAGGATTTATTCAAGTCTTTCATGGAGTTTGCTCAAGAAAAAAGTCTACCTATGGATAAACTTCTCTCAGTGTGTACTGATGGTGCTCCGTGTATGGTGGGGAAAAACAAAGGATTTGTGGCGCTTCTCCGTGAACATGAAAATAGACCCATCCTAAGTTTCCATTGCATTATACACCAGGAGGCACTTTGTGCTCAGATGTGTGACAGGCAGTTTGGCGAAGTGATGTCGCTGGTCATTCGTGTGATCAACTTTATTGTTGCCCGAGCCTTAAATGATCGCCAGTTTAAAACACTGCTGGATGAAGTTGTAAATAACTATCCTGGTCTGCTTTTGCACAGCAATGTGCGTTGGTTGTCAAGAGGGAAGGTGCTTAGCCGTTTTGCGGCTTGCCTGAACGAAATCCGGACTTTCCTTGAAATGAAAGGCGTCGGGCATCCTGAGCTAGCCGACACCGAGTGGCTCCTCAAGTTTTACTATCTCGTAGATCTGACTGAACATCTGAACCAGCTCAACGTGAAAATGCAAGGCATTGGAAATACAGTGTTATCCCTTCAACAAGCTGTATTTGCTTTTGAAAACAAGCTGGAGCTTTTCATCACGGATCTTGAAACAGGTCGTTTACTACATTTTGAAAAACTGAGCCAATTTAAAGATGCATGCACAGCAAGTGAGCCCATTCAAAACCTTGATCTCCACCAGCTAGCTGGCTGCACATCCAGTCTCCTACAGTCCTTCAAAGCACGCTTTGGAGAATTTCGTGAGCACAGTCGTCTTTTTAAGTTCATCACCCATCCAAACGAGTGTTCACTGAACACAGCCGACCTGAATTACATCCCTGGTGTCTCCGTCAGAGATTTTGAAGCAGAAGTGGCTGACCTGAAGGCCTCAGACATGTGGGTGAATAAGTTCAAGTCACTGAATGAAGATTTGGAAAGAATCACACGACAGAAAGCGGAGTTGGCGAGCAAGCACATGTGGACAGAAATGAAAAAACTCCAACCCGAAGACCAGCTGATTCTCAAAACTTGGAACGCGCTTCCTGTCACATACCACACACTGCAGCGTGTGAGTATTGCTGTATTGACCATGTTTGGATCTACGTATGCATGTGAGCAGTCATTCTCACATCTTAAAAACATCAAGTCCAACCTACGATCACGTTTAACGGATGAAAGCCTCAACGCTTGCATGAAGCTTAACCTCACCAAGTACCAACCCGACTACAAAGACATCAGCAAATCCATGCAGCACCTGAAGTCGCATTAATGGTGAGTGTTATAACAACATTATTTAAAAGAATAAATTCAGAGGCTTATTATACTGACATTTAGTTGAATTCACTTTTAAAATATATTATATGGCTCTCGCTGAAATAAATTTCCAATTTTTTTGCTTTCATGGCTCTCTTAGTCAAAAAGGTTCCCGACCCCTGTGTTAAACTGACATTATCGTTCAGAAGAGGGTTTTTTTGTGGGGTTAGATCGCGTAAATATGAACGTGTCGTTAAAGCCACCGCCACTCGACACAGCCAATTAGTAAGGTTTGTCACGTAAACAGAACATGGCAATTCGTTACTAGCAGAGCACACAAGTAATTACTGGCAAAACGTCGTACTCAGATTGTAAATGTTGTGGATTTGCTCTGCAACACACCGGTTAGTGCTGTACTAGTAACGAATTGGCCACGTTCTGTTTACGTTACAAACCTTACTAATTGGCTGTGTCGGGTGGTGGCGGGTTTAACGACGCATTTATATTTACGTGATCTAACCCAAAAAACCTGTTATATGGATATTGGTCGCAAAAGTCTCCTACTTGTTAAACATTATTATTGTTGTTGTTGTTATAAAGATTTGTTTGAAGCGACAGTACTTCAGAAACATTTGCTTCATCACATTTTCACTGTAAACTCGGCCTGCGGTCATCCTGTGGCGGGACAGAGAAACCGAGGTGACTGAGGGTACGCCGCTGCGTTACTGCATCATTCTGCTCAAGAAAGTAGTTCGCCGTTGACCACTCGCAAACCGCGTCGTGACGCGTCGTGACGCGTCGTAACGCGTCATAACGCGTCGTGACGCGTCGTAACGCGTCATAACGCGTCGTGACGCGTCATAACGCGTCGTGACGCGTCGTGACGCGTCGTAACGCGTCATAACGCGTCGTGACGCGTCGTAACGCGTCATAACGCGTCGTAACGCGTCGTAACGGCGCTCGCGTCATAAGGCGGCACGCAGCGCGAGCACACCGGCGCGTTGAGCGACGACTTTACCCGTAAGTTAATGAGGAAACGAGGCTTGATGCGGCGTCTCGTGCAAACGCTCTCACGGAGGTTTAAGCCGGCCGCAGTGGAGGCCCCATCGTGCATGCGACGGCAAGCGTCGTCCGAGACTTTCTCTCGATACGAATCTCGTAAAAAAACGTTTCCTAATGTTGCCCTAATCACCTTTGGTGAAAGCGCGTCCCCTTGTCTGAGCCCACTTTTGATGTGTATTTTGGTACTGACCGGTAGCTGCTTCGAAGTCACGTTGAAATCTGTCATGAATTGCAGCTCCTGAGGGTCAAAGATATCGGTTTGATTGCCACACGCTGGAGAGAGAGCAGGTGAGAATGTGCTGCCCGCTACTACTTTGTGTGTGGATCAGAGATCACTTTCAGAAGAGATCTCAGATTTAGCTCCGTGATATCCATTTACGTGGGCAGTTCTGTTTGACTACTAGCATCACTAGACGAAGAAGGGATCTCAGAGGTAGCTCTGTGAAAACTACTTCCGTGGGCCGTTCTGTGTTTGACCATTAGCATCACTAAATGGAGAAGGGATCTCAGAGGTAGCTCCGTGATAACCACTTCCGCGGGCCGTTCTGTGTCTGACCATTAGCGTCACTAGACGGACAGGGGATCTCATAGGTAGCCTCCATGGGACCAATTTCTGAAAGCTTACGGCTCGTGATTACACCACTGTTGGTAGCTACCCGTGAAAAATAAAAATGTGTAAGAATTAACAAAGCTGAAATTATAATAAAGTATGATGGATCGTAAGTGCGACTTCATCGAGAGCATCTTACCATTTCCTCTGGGTTATAAGACACTTCGGAAAGTAAGACGCATCCCAGACGTGTGTGTTCCCCGTGTTCACAAAATAAATAAAAATATCTTGTTTCACGGAAGACAAGACAAAGATCCCCCATACGAACAATAAGGATAGTTTTTACCCCTTTCTGGCAATAAAAAAAATCTTGTGTTAAGATGTTCAAACACAAAATGGATACTTTTTGTAAGGAATCAAGTCTAACCACACGTACTTGTGGTCTACATGCAAACAAATATGCTCTGATAATAAGAATGATGTCTGCATTGTCTTTGAAACTGATTGGCCTACACGAGGGGCAGCCTCCTTGATGGCCTTGTCTCACCAGTGCCAGACCAGAGAACGCCAAAAGGCGAACTGTACAAAGACAATGCTACTATCAGAGCACTTAGAGCTCGGGGTGAGCAGCTCCCCTTGTGGAGCCTGAACAGACTGTTGGGGGAAATGCTGTGAGCGAGTAGCACTTATGAAGGCTTGCACGGCACGCAGACACCCGCACGCACGCAGACACCTCCCATATAAGATGCTTGAACATACTAGAGTAACAAAAACGTGGCTCTTATTGTCCAGATAATATGCTATCAGTTCTAACATTTTTTTTATAATTGTTTTTACATGTATAAATAGCATTTTATTAACCTGTTGTCAATGAGTTTAACGCCTGTGTACTTGTCAAGTTTTTAATGATCGCCAATACGCGAGAATTTAAATGTGTTCTGGACTTCATTGCGTACCAACTTGATGTGGGTGAACGCCGGCTTTTGAGAGTTTAAAAACGTCTCGGCCACCCCCTCCAATTGGGTGGACGAGGCGAGGCGGGGGGGCGCGGTCACTTAAAGAAGAAGAAGAGGAGGTAAGGGATTTCAGAAGTAGTTCTGCAATAGCCACTTCCCCGTGAGGCCACCTCTTTAACACGGAGGCGCGCGCTCCCGCCCCGCAGGTCGATTCTCCGTCTCGCGCCCGGTGACGAGCCAACGTCAAATTTTGTTATTTTCTAAACAATATGGGGTTAAAAGTTTCGTTAATTTT